GTAGAGTCAACAATCCCGTTTTTAATCTTTAGTTGTATAAGACTATTCAATGTTTTAGTTTGATGTAAAATGAGGGCGTTAAAGCCCAATGAATTAACTATTAAAAGATGAGTTATTGACCCAGTTTTTTAACAAGAGCGGAGTCAACTCCTACACTTTTTAAAAAAATACCATAATTTAATGAATAAATTTAAAAATATCATAATTTTGTTATTTTTTGTTTCAAAATTACCGTAATTAATAATTAATTCAAACAGTTTAGATGCTATAAGGACTTAATTTTGGGACCTAAGTATATATTTAATTAAATGTCATAATTGAATTTTAATGCTTAATAGAGTTCACTGTAAACCTAACAATTATAATTAATTAAATTGTCAAATTAAATTCAACCTCCTTCATTGCAACTTTTTCGCCCCATATCCCCCGTGGAAATACAAGTGTACACTAGAAAATCCAGAAATAACCCATGTTAAAAATTACTTTTTTTGGGGCGTCAATTAAAATTTATTTTCAATGTCATCGCATTTTTTAGGCATTGAATCGTAAATTTAATTCCATCAAGTTGTTGTCGTAGTTGTGGACCATCGCCCAGTGGTAAATTGTATTGAAAGTAGTTTTCCAGACAATTTAGTGCTATATTGGTCCCCGTGGGAGGGTGAACTTGCCGTCCATCAGTAGGGGCTTAATCGACACGGTTACTCGGACTCAATTCAAATAAAACTTGGCTAGAGTTCGATTTACGTTCTAAACGAGGTGATGTTAAACCATTCTTTATGCTTGTTTAGAAAAAAACGAAATTAAAAGACTTGGCTCATTTATATGTAAAATAGTCAAGCTATTTAAATTTAGCTTAGGTTTGGACTCGCGGCTCAAGTTTTGAAAGAGTCAAGTTTAAACAATTTTTTAGACTCGTTTAAAAAACAAGCTCAAACTCAGGTTCAAACTCGTAAAATTTGACTCGATTAACACTTTATCCATCAGTCTTTCATTTCAGATTTTTTAACACATGTGTAACATTAGAGTCTCATTACACTAACAAAAAATATTTTTTGGTATTATATTTTTATTTTTTAATCAATAAAATATGTCATGCATATAATTTTCTTTTTTTTTACTATTTACTATTTTTAATAAATAATTACTAATCACTGAAATTGATGAAGGTACGATCCTAAAATATCCACTTCGTTACCTTATTATTACCTTCGACATTATTCTTGCATACAAAGGTAGACGAAGAGCTAAAGGATAAGCAAAAAAACAAAGCTAAGATGATTGAATGTCATGGTCTCATTGAGATGTCACCATTAATCCTCTATAGCTCAGTGTGTAGTCTTCAATCAAATAGATTGCACGTTTCTTGCATAGCTCCAATTCTGAATGTGGACTAGGAGAGTCAGTACAATGATTTGACAGCTCCACCTCTTAACTTTTTGGTAGGAGCAAATGTATTTTCTTTTCATAGCAAGATTGAGTGCATAGATTGGACTTTGATTAAGGTGCAGAGGAAAAAATTTTGGTACCATATAATAATGAATATTTTTATAATTTTTTGTAAGTTATTTTATAATTAAAAAATTTATTATTTTTGTGAGAGATTTATTATATTTTTGGGTGGTAACTATTTTTGTCATTTTTTTAATATAAAAAATATTATTATTTTTGTGGATAATTTATCATATTTATGATAATTTTTACCGCCATTATGGTAATTATTTTTATCACTTATAATTTAAACAATTCAAAGTTATAAATCAACAGACTTCGTTAAGATCAATTCACAAGCTTTTGAAATGAATCTAACAAATTGAGTTGCGATTGACTTTTTTTTTTTTGGTCACGGAGTCGTGATTGACTTAATTATAATGCTTTTGATGTTTTCGATATAATAATAGGTAACTTGTTACTATATAATACTCCTTCATAATACTGGTCAATCTATATTTGCTTAATTGAGAACATTTCGATTGATTCTATTAATAAGAAGTGGCGAACAAGATGCTTATGACTTCAACATCCTTACAAAGTTTCTTGGACATTTCTTGGGCCACTTCATCTTTTCTCTCTCCCTAATACCAAAACTTTATGTACATCATTCATGAAATCATCTTTGAGATCATGAGCTGCCATTAACCAAGCTAGCTTTCCTATCATCTAATCTAATGGTGGTAGTGCAGTTGACGTCGGCCTCATGTTTTCTCTTACAATAAGTTTATGTGACATATCTTATCAAGAACTGAGCCAAAGTGATACGAAATCATTTTTATTTTTTTTTTTGAAATTTGGGTGTTCGTCACACTTATAACTCAAGTATTACCCATAATTAAATTTTTGAACTCGGGTCGAATAGAAACAAAATATAAGTTAAATTGTTGAGTGAATGATTAAATGGTCAAAAAGGTATAATTCAGTTTTTTTTATTATTGTACATTTCTTTTGATTAAATTGAATTTTTTAAAAACCAACTTGATATGATTCTGGAGATAGAGTTTTTGTGGGGTCACGTAAGCTGCAAATTCCATAACCGTAAAAAAAGCAAAAAAAAAAAAAAAAAGGTACAATAATTTTACATGACAACCTTTTGATTGAAAACATCAATTATTTGCTAAGTCCCATAAAGGGCAAGCAAGGTGCATGGGATTCCATGATGTAGGAACTGAATGTGACAATAGTTGTAGGTAGGTGAGATGCATTTTCATTTCACTAAAAGCCAATACATAGAGTGACTAGTGCGTCTGGCCTCGAAAGGGTTAGGACCCCATTTTTCATGTCTGATATTTAGCTCGTAAAACTGCACCGAGCTTATAGATTAACTAATTTGGAATTGTTCTAACTTAATTAAGGTGTTTAGTTCGAGAATTGCAAATACAATTGCTTTAAATACTCGATAGGGAGAGTTTTGTCACCCTTGTGCTTCTGTCTCAGCTCGAATTCGGATTAGTCGGAGCCCGTTGTGACTACCCGACACCGAATGGTTTACACAACAAAAACTGCACCGACATGCCCCTATTATTATGTAAGCAAGAGGCTCACTCTGATGAATAATTAGGATTGTTCCTGCACCGTAGGGGGGTACTAGCAAAAAATGCGCAACACATAAATAAATCACGCCCAACATGGCCCTGTCATGCAGGGATGACCTAGATTATATGAAGCCTAAAACGGTAATTAAAAATAAGGTTTTTAATTTTTAGTATAGTATTGATATTTTTTATTTAAAATATATTCTTTTTTTTTAAGATTAAAAGTACTATTAATTTTTATGTTTAATAAATTTTGCTATCATATTTTTTTTTATATTGATAGTATCACTAACCTCTAATATTTTTTGTGATAGCCAATCTGAAAGAAGATTTTATCAACTTTAATTTTTAAAAAATTCTTTTAATTTTAAATAATGATGGTCTACTGATTTTAATTTTTTAAGTTTAACAAAAAATTAAAAAATTTGGTATATTTTTCATAATACAAATCAAAAACAATTCGTAACATGATATTTTTAAGATTTACATTTCCCGCCCGGGGGAAGAGGGGGAGAGAGTGGTGTGTTTCAAATGACTTTTTTTAGGGTCTAAAATCATATAAATCTAATTTTTTTTAAGTTAGACGAACCATTTGGACTTTCTCGAAACATGGGCTTAAAAGCCCAAACTTTGTTGGCCTTGTGGTTGGGGCCGGCCCTGCTGTCATGTAGGCAAGAGGCACATTCAGGCTTTTAAATTGTACAAATTTTTACCTTAACAAAGTTGGTTTGGCTTTACTTTTTTTTTTTTTTTAACAAGTTTAGGTCTGTATCGATTATTCTCTCGAGGTCACTGTCACCATAACTTAAACTGGGTTAGAGTATGTCCTTAAGAAATAAGAATGGCTAGCGTTTAGGGTATGTGAAAAGGGATTAAACCTGAGACCTCTAAATTAATAAAAATCAAACTCAACCTCCGAATCACCCCAAAGTTGGTTGTACTTTAGTTTTGATTTAAGATTGCTAACATGTTCTTTCATTAGTCAAGATGCTCATTTCAGATAATGTTTTTATGGCCATCCGTTATTGGGTGTGTACGTCCCATAGAAAAATTTATCTTGACTAGTTAGTTAGTTCACACGTGCGTTACACGTGAACAATTTTCTAAGTTAAAATCTTTGATTTGATGTGTTGTGAACTCTACCTCTAACAAGACTTGGTACCTAACGTTAGATCAATATTTACAAAAAAAATCAAAGAAAGTAGGTTAGAGTTTAGATCAATTCCTTAATACATATTCACACAATAACTTGGGAATCTCTACATTGCATTCCTTCTTCTGTTTTGGCCTTAAGTGTTGTCATTGGTATCCAAACCTTAATGATTTATCATTTTTCGTAACACACCTCCAAGCGTCAATCCGAACATAGTGATGACAGGATACAAGTGTTGGCCAAATATATTAATGAATGGGAAAAAAATAGGCAATTAATATAAAACTATCCAAAGCTCACACAGAACAATTGTTGAAGATACAAATCATATATAATGACATCCATGATCCAAATGCACCCAGAAGGGTAGGAGAAAATACTTGAGCTAGCTGAGTGTCAACACAAAAAAAGGCTATCAAACATGCAGTTACCACACAACAAAAAACATACAACCACCCCACCACTGTACCAATATTATTTACAAATAGCCAAATGTTGTTACTGACGATGCAACTCAGATTCTATGAATGTCAAGACTAACATTAAAAGTATTTGAAACACCCAAGAGAAAAAGGAGTACAAAGCTTCACATTACACATGCACCAAGCAATGAATTACATGAGAACAATAGCAAAAAAAAAAAAAATGAATTACACAAGAGAAAAGGTAAATATACCTTAATGTAGGCAAGTTAATAGCAAGCACCATTAACTTACTTGACCTCCAGCAAGCTTGTTGTCCCAGCTAAGTATACTATAATCTAGGTCTCCCCAGAAGGCACCAACATGTTTGGCGATATCTGGAGTCATAGGCAGATGAAGTTATGAAGAATTTCCAGTAGCATAGTACAACCAAGCTGCACCCCACACATACTCATCATAGTAATTAGTGGAATTATAGAAAATAGAAGCATCGGCACCACCAGCACTATATCTGCCTTGCTGATCCCTGGAAAACTTGAAGAGGGTTCTGGCACCATGTACAAGTTTTTGGGAGTAAGCCTTGTTATCCTCAAAAACAATGGATGAGAAAGCTAAAGCAGCCATCTCTCCAGCAAGGTCTGAGCTAGTGTTCCATTGATATGTATGAAGTACCTTGCTGCCAAAAGTTGTAAAACAATACAACAGCAAGCAAACGAATCAATCAGACAATCACTAATACTTTTTTTTTAAGAAAAAAATGGATTAGTGCCCCCAATCTCCACTATTGAGTTGTCAAAAAAGAAAAAAATTCAGCAAAACAAACAAAATTATATTCAATCAAATATATTAATTAAGTATGCATATATGTCTATATACATAGAGAAGAGAGGTTTGTCCATAATATATGGTACATACCACCCTTCTATGGCTGGATCACAACAACAATTCAATTTCAAGAAACCACATCTACTATTCTTCAATTCGAAATTTCATCAAACATTAGTCATGCATCATCCAAAGCACTACACTTCACATACATAACAACAATGACATTACAAACGAACACATTACCACCAATCACATTATTGCAAAGTAAACTCAGACAGTAGAGGAGCAAGTTAGACGCTGGGTGTTTCAGAAAGAGGATGATGGGGGTGAAGGCGAAGTAGTGGTGGCTATAGGGTAGTGTAGGGGACGTGGGTTGGTGGCATGAAGAGACAGAGGGAGTTACATGAGAAAATATATCATGGGACAGAGCACTACAAAAAGATGTAACCGAAACTGAACCAATTTAAGAAGAAGCTGTAAATCTGAGAAGTCACTATCAGAGAGCATTAAAGTGGGAGTGAGGGAGAGGAGGAAGGTGGAAAGAGGGAAACTGTTCTGTTTTTTTATTGACTACTAAATGCGCAGGAGAGAGAGAGACAAAAACTTCTGAACACCAGACAAAAACTTCTAAACACCAAATAGATTTAGAAAAATGGAAGTAATTGTGAAATCTACACCCTCATCTTTGCCCGCACCGCCAGCCTTAGCATCAAAATCTTCACCAAGCTTTTGGGTGGAAAATAATAAATCGAGTTACCAACCATGATCATTTGCAAAAAATATAGACATTTCATTAGATAGATATTACTCACTGAGAAATAACACCGTCGAATTCCGTATCAGCTCCAGCTGCAAAACCAAAATTATGTAAGCTATAGCCAATATTGTAACATTAGTCAACAAAGATCATTGGTGGACCTAATTCACTTCAAATATTTCAATAGGGTTGTGCAATACGATTTTGCTGTCTAGGAGTGCTTTAACAAGAAAAGAAAATATCTTCGTAATATCTGCAGTGTCCAACGCCTTTATGCTATAAACCTAGGGCAGACGATTCATCGTGAAGGATACCTTAACACCAAGGCTGCTTCGAAACTCATTCTTGGAGACATATGCTGCTTTGAAACTCCTTCATGGCTTCTTCAAACTCATCATCTTGGTAAGTTTTTACAAAAAAGGTATATATATCTACTCATTTTTTTTCTTTTTGCTAGTCATGTCCAATGTTTGATGCCATTGAAGATGCTTCGTCAAAAACTTCTTAATGGTTAAATAAGACAGAGAAAAAAAGGATTCAGCTTTTGGTCTAATCACTAAAACTTATTTTCATTCCTTTTGTTTAGTCTTCTTCACAGAGTCGCTCTTGGGATTTTACAAAACCTGTTCACTTTTTGAATAAACAATTAAGAGTAATGCTACATAGACTTAAAAAGTAGACTTAAAAATTAGACTTGATAATCTCAACCGTTGATTTCACTGTGAATCCCAGCATTTATTGGAACCTACTACCTATTCAATGGTTGAGATTATCAAATCTAATTTTTAAGTCTACTTTTTAAGTCTATGTAGTATTACTCAACAATTAAAATACTTCAAAGATTTTACAAACACTGAGTTGTTTTTCTTAATGTTGGTATGTATAATGACACTGCCTAGTAGAATTTTTATATTTGGTTTCCGCCTTCTAAAATATTCTTTCTAGAATGTCCCCAGCCACTCTAGATTTATTTAAATTCTCTTAGGGAATGTTTCGAGGAGGAGAGTATAATGTGGGATAAGATTGGACAATTAATTACAATTTAACCTAATGCCAATAATATTAGGTCACCCACATTATCTTGTTCTCATTATATCGTGTTTGGATGAATGTTTGAATGAGGTGTACATCTATCGTTTTAATATTAATTACATGTTTAGATGAGAATTAATGTATGATATTAAATTGTAAAAGACAGTGTTAACCTGACATCAACATATAGCTATCTAACCTATACGGATACTCTTTCCATGTTAGATAAGCATGTCTCATTTAATATCATTGGTCAACATTGTGTAAAAAAAATTACACTTGAAAATAATGTATAACAAAAAAAAAATACCAAGCAATATAGGGCCACTATTCAAAATAAAATCAATAAAATATACTCTAAAAATAACTTGGACAATATCAATCTATGTACACAATTTATAAAATCAAAATAATAACAATAAGTACATTTTAAAAAAAAAAATGACTCACATCACCATCTTTTGTAAAAAAATCGAAGGAGCTGCAAGTGAGGGAGATGCGAGAAAGGAGAGACGTGACATAGGGAGACATGAGAGTGTAGTAGAAGTGAGAGATTGGGAGAGGTTAGAGGGCAATAGATGTCACGTGAGAGAGGGCAACACTTGGGGCAAAAAATAAAGACGCGCGAGAGATATTAGGTGGGAAAATTTTCAGGAATGACTTTTAGCCATTAAATTTATTTTGGATTAATTTAGAAACGATCTGAACTACAAAAAATAAAAAATAGTTTTATGCCTTTGAAAATTTTGAAATGTCTTGTATTTTATTATATAGATCTATAATATAAATTATTGGTTATTCCAAGTATGGGGTGTTGGAAGTTGGATGATATTTTAATATCGGACTAGTACCAACAAAATCATTAATATCGGGTCTTATAACTTAATTCAAATTTACTATTAAGTGACCATTGGACTAAATTAATCTAATCTCACCCTTTAATACACAAACTAAACATAGTAAAGTATAAGAGAAAATATCGGTTTAAAAAAAATCAAGTTCCTTCTAGGTTTTACAAAATACTTTTATACGACTCGTAAAACAAATGTCTTATTTCTATGTCCTTCCAAAATCATCTCCATATTTCATGTATTTTTTTACCAGAATGCCCATTTTGACCCTTGATGCATGTTGTGGAGACCTCGACTATGCTGAAAATACATATTCATTGTTATTTGGATTAGCTTTACTAACTAAATTTGTTAGGTAGAATTAGTTTTGTTGAGAAAAGATGTCGAAGCTGGTGCAAATTATAAGGAAGAGGAACGAGCATTTGGTGCAAGAGGTACAAAGAGGCCGACACTCGTAGTCAAGCATCAAAATTTAGTTTCAAAACAATCGAGAATTTTTTGTTGTCAAGGAGATAGAAACGAACGTAACCATATTTGATTAAAATTTCAATGCTTCCATGTGTTTCAATATTTTTTCACTGATGTTTCGGATTGTTTTGACATGTTTCAAGATATTTTGATTAATATTTTAAAATATTATGAAAATAATTTTTCTATTTTTCTTTTTCCAGAATTTTCATGCATGGAAGAAGAACCTCTCCGTTGCTTTTAGCGTTAAAAAACCAACTTCTAGGGGTTAGTGAAAGAGAAATAACAACCCATGTCTAGTGGTTAATTCCTAACAAATGGGAACTCCTAATCCATTGGGTGTCTTTCACCTTTTTACATTCAAACAACCAACTAACTATCTTACCCGAGTTGTATCCATCTATGGGTGCCCGAATTTTAATCCAAAACCCGAATGCCAGCAATACCAATCTCAACAATATGGCCTAATTTGAAGCCTCTGTAATGACAAAGTGAAAGCACAAAAATGGGATAAGGAGCAGAGGACATAGGTATAACTTCACTTATTCTGTGATACACAATAACAAATCACCTATGAGAACAGACAGATCGCAGTCCCAAGACAACTTGGTGCAAACTTTACTAGTTACTAGTTACTAGTGCAACTAGAATTTCATATTGAGAACCTTACCTAATGGCTGATAATGTTTAGGAGCCTGCTCATCACTCAAACTATAGCTTTCTCTGGAAATCGATTCCTCGCGAAGTGCTGTTATAGCAGCCCTTCTCCTTTTTTTTTGCTCTTTCCACCGTCTTATATGTTCCTCAAGTGCTGCTTTAGCCTTCTCGGCTGCCTCAGCCCTGCTTGCAGCCTGTTCTGCTCGTGTTCTGAACTCTCCAATTTTCACTGTCGCGATATCCAGCTCCCTCTTCAAAATTTCTAACTCATACCTATTTTCAAATACCGGCTCTAGAACATGATCTGCCTTCTCAGCCTTATTAATCAAGGTCTCATATTCCTCCATTGAAATTGTGATAACAGCATCGGTGTCATTTTCTCTCTCTTCTTGATCATTTCGTGTAATTTCTTCATCATGAGAAGTATTTTCACATCGGGCTTCGCCGCTGAGGACAGAGTTCTCAGTTTCTTCAGCCTCCTTACCTGATTCTTCTTGTAACCTTCGAGTCTCTTTTTTAGCTGCTTCTGCTTCCAATGCTAATTGCTGGACTGCACGATATAGGCCAGACTTTTCGCCCATTGCTCTTGCTTCAGCTGCCTCAGCGGCAGCAATTTTTGACCTCCCTTTAAGAAGTTCAGCTTTCAGCAACGCTATCTCAACTTGGGCTTCAGTCGCTTTCTGTCTGGTCTCATCCATCTCGATTTTAATCTTCTCTAACTCCCCTGTCATTGTTTCAATATCACAATTCAATCCCCTCACCTCTTCCTTTGCTTTACTATGTCCTAACTTTAATTGATTCAGCTCCGTTTCTAGTAAACTGATATAAACTGCCTGATCTGAGTTCTTTCTTTCCTGTAATTCCATGTTCAATTTTAGTAGGTTTAATTCTTCGATGGCATCAGTGGCAGCTTTTTGGGATGAAACTTGTAGCTCATTCAGTTGTTTAAGTTCCAACTGCAGAGAATCAATAAACATAGACTTTGCCAGTAGTTGATTCTCCCAATTCTGCATCATGTCAAGCTGTTTTCTCATGCATCCTAGCTGTTCCTGTGCTTCGACTATGTCAGCTGTCGCTAATTCTAACTCGGCCTCTTTTTCAGATAAAATTGCACATTTTTCTTTCTCTGCCTCAGTAGCAGCAAGATTTGAGTGAAGAATAGTCTCGTTAAGCTCTGATACATGCCTCAGAAGCCCTTCTGTCTTCACCTTCTCCATGCCTAAAGCAGTTTCCGCCATTTCTGCTCGTGTCATGGCCTCAACGTTTGCTTCTCCAACCGCAGCAAGTTCTGTTTCCATGCTAAGTAGTTCCCCTTGTGTAGCATTTGACTCCCTTATAACCTGTGAAAGCCGCTCTCTGACCTTTTCAGTCTCCACCAGTTGATCAGCCATCTCCTTCATTTTGGATTCTAGTTCTTCCTCGCGCACCCTACCTTGTCTACATTCGTTGATGGCTAAATGTTTCTCAAACTCGTACTTCTTTAGTAAGCTTGAAAGTTCAGCGGCTGTTTTTTGATTGTGGTCTAGCCTTTGAACGGCTTTTTTATAGGCAGAGTCCTTTGCCTCCAATTGAATCTTGACATTGGCCAAGTCCTTTATTAGGCCTTCAAGCTCTGTCACCTTCTCCAATTCCTGTTGAGCAAAAGAAAGAACAGAAAATTAGGCAGGAAAAGTACCCAAAAAAAAGTTCAATTCCCTTGTCTGTGGGGTTGCTGATGACAGTCCCTGATGAGGTAATGGTGCCTAGAATACGTGTCATCCTTGATCTTCTCTGCAACGTTCTAATTTTATCAGACGTCCCAAAAGGATCATTGGGGCTAGAATGCACAACGTCATTTACCACAAAAAGAAAAGGAATCAACCATGTAGTATATCTACAAGCTGTTTCATATGGAACTATTTCAGCCTTGCAAAATGGTAGTTAGTATAGAATTTCTACTTAAAAATTCCATAAATTTTCCCGATGATACACATGTATAAGATTTAAATTTCAGCTGGGAACAATTTCAAACGAATTGAACTCACCTAAACAACGAATTTGTTAGTCACAAGCTTTATCTTCATAGATCAAATCCGAATTTTAACATTGGATTTCTAATCAGGGAAATAGAATTGAATAAATCGAAATGTACTTGTGTTTGCAATGCATTTTCAACTTACATCACTGCTACAGGATCGGATTTTCCTCTGATCATTTCTCTCATCAAACAAGGTGATTGCAGCTTGAACTGATTCAATTGATTTCGTATCAATCTCCCCCATATTTTCTCTTCTTTTTTGGTCAGCCATTTTTTCTCTTCAGAAACTCCAAATATGGCCCCAGAAAATCTGCTGCACTTGAAAACCCAAAAAAAAATATATATTACAAGACAAATCTGACTGCTAGTAGCTTCACTGGCTTTGTGGTAGCTTGGAGTTGGGGTGTTGGGCCTATGAGGAATTTAGTTTGTATGTGTAATTCGGATGATAACTCGACCCGAAATAATATTGCGTGATTTTTTAATGGGAGGGGTTGCCCCCGAGGAAATTTTTTTGGGCCTGTTTTGTAGCCCAGTGCATAAGACATATAAAAAATCGCTACTTTGGTGATTAAGGTTTGATCGAAGTATATAGTCGCTCTCTGTAATCCTCTCTCTTAATAGCGAAATCCCTGAAAACTTCGTGTACATAGGCAAATTGTCGAACCACGTAAAATTTGTGTGTCTTGTTCTTTCTTATTCCTTATTGTTTTATGTTATTAGTTTGTTCTTCGATTGTGTGTATTTGTTTGTGGATTTAAAGCGTATTAAATCCCAACATAGAGTTCTTACTAAATTACAAGAAATATTTTTATTGACTTGACAAAATGCAGGCATTAAAAAGTACTTTTCACCAATCATGATGCAAAATTACTTGGGGGGAGCACATTTGAATGTCTTATCATCCACCTAAAAGATGATAAGCTAAGTATTTATGTTTCAACACAAACTAGATTTCTGGGACTAACACATGTAAAAAAAAATTTAATTATCAACATGGCCGTGAGATTCAGACACAAGGTGTCCTTCTTTATATTATGTTAACAATAATCTACTTTAAAAACTTAAATTGTTAGAGAGCTTAGTAGTGCTTCTAAAATCATAAATGAGTCCATTGCGGAACATCTTACTCATCAAGGGAAACAAAATGTAACCTTGTGGATGGGTTCATAAAGCCCCAGACTAAGTTGATAACTTTGGCCGTGCCCGTGATGATGGCGGATTCATACATTCAAATGCTACATGACGCAAAAAATAATGAATTCTGGACCACCATACCAGTAAAAATTTACCCTTCTCGTATATGGTAACAAAATTTACAGCTTAGAGAAGAAAGAGAGAGAGAGTACCTGAAATAACTGGAACAAAATTACCTTGAAATCTGGAGAATGAAGGGGGAGAAAATAAGGTATACATAGGAGGAGTTGCAGTGAAGAGTCCAAAGAAAATATGGATCATTGGATTTATCAATTAGGCCTCAAAGGCAACGTTGTGCTGGTATTGGAGGAATCGAGGTGCCAAATTTGGTTTTCAGTAGAAGGGTCTGGAGTTTTAGAAAATGGCAAACAACCTCGAAGAGATCGACCAGTAACCTAAGTTCTGTGCATGCGTCTTCTTGTGTTTATCTTTTCATTTACTTATTGAGATGCTTACCAAAACTTATGGCAAATATTTACCTCTCAATTTTCTTAATTTTGCAAGGTTTGACTCAATCGTATAATGAAAGTTCCATTCGCCATGTACAGAAATCTACAAGAGGTTTATGCATTTTGTCCAACTAGAAACCATGATAACTCGGGAGCATTGAAACAATGAAGAAGGAAACGGCCTGAGCTGCAAAGCTAGCCATGCCTTCTCATGATTATGTTGTGAGAAAAAAACATATATTCAATGTACATATCTGACCACCAAGCTAGGGTTTGGGTCTATAACAAACAAAGCATACTCGAGCCACTTAAGTCAAAAAAAACAGGGCTCGAACTCTAGCCAAGTCAATGCCTAGAGTCACACTGTACAACAATCATCATCGTGTGAAGGATTGCAATAACATCCCGAGGCTTTAAATCCGTAACAAGCACAGAAATAAGCAACTTCTCCGGCCTTCCTGCGTCCTTGAAGCCAATGATATCCCATCCTTGTTGATTATGTTCAAATACAAGAGGAAACATAATGGCGCAGCCAAATGCCAAGTTAGTGTCAAGTGATTATAGTACATCCTAATTCCTTAGCAGCAGTATCTAGAAATTCAATTGGCATTCTGGTTGCAAGTCGGCTATGAGCTTCCAATGTAAGACACTTTTCAATATTTGCTTGCCAGTCGATATTTCCTGCATTTAAGTACTGATAAGCAGGACCATGGATGCCATTTATGTCCAATTGTCTACCACTCGATTTTATTGAACCAGTGAGCAAAATAGCATGTAGTACTGATTTGCTAAGAGCACGAACATGAGCACTTGGATGAGAAATGCAACGAACAGTAGCTGGTAGGCGACACTGCATAAATTAGCCAGCTAAATCAGTGAAAGTTTTAAACTGACATTTGAAGTATTATGCCTACCCAACCACGAGACTCCCCCAAGCCTGATGATGCATAAACTTCCCAGTGGAAGACACGAGAGTTCCATTAAACACAAAATACTCTTTTCTCTTTCCCTCTTTATATTCCCTTGTCCTCAAATGGAAGCATGTATGTCATATGTGATAGGATCATCTCTAGACTAGTGTTCATAGCATTTTGCGTTATTCATACATGCTGGATTACTTTGAACAGGTCCAGTAGACTTGTTTATTTACCTTCAACAGATTTGAAAGACCATCTGCGACTACCAATCCAGATTCTCCCCCCTTGAGCACTGATTGAATTGCTATAGCTGTTGCTTCCAGGAGCTGGGCATTTTTTTTTATTATGTTAGTACATCATTCTTTCAATGTTATAACCATGCACAAGCACTTAAAAATTATTAAGCAGACAGAAACACACTTCCCGCTAAAGAAAATACTGAAAAAGTCTAGAGATATTACCTCCAGCTGTGGTAAAGTGCATGCTTGTCCATCAACCAACATCCCATCTGTGGCACGAAGGAGGAGATCCGACGCACTTGCTAAAATTACCAATGATTCTGGATTATCCTGATTCCTCATTAGCTCCACAATCAGCTTCACTACACGCTGGTTGATTCTCCACATCTTTTGACCAAGATCATCATCTTTAGCAATCCAAGGTCGCAATTCTCTCTCCGCCTGACAAACACATGAGGCAGGAAAGTAACTAAACAGATGAATCCATCAAGCTAAAACAATTTAAAAATAAACTGGAATAAGAGACCGATAACAGGAAGCCTGCTGTGCGGCAAATTGCCAATGTAAGACAACATAAACAAGTCATTAATTTTAGTAAGTCTTTAAACATAGCGAAGGTAGTTTTGACTTTTCTATCCTTTTGGTGTCCACCTATCATAGATAGGTGACATTTAAGTCACTGGCCCAAAAAGAGAAGTTCACGAATTTTATCTCAGTAAATAGTTCAAGTGGAGTAAAGTCTGGACCTGAAGAACAACAGCTGTTGCAGCTTTTGTAGGTGATGCTGATACCACGTTGCATAATGCATCAACCACCTGTACAGAAAAGGAGGGTCAACAAAACTAACCTCACAAATGTACAAAATCAAAGTATTGTAGCTAACATTAAATTGTTGATTATGACTATATATCACTTACATTAAAATGTGTGTGTGGGTGCCTGTGGGTATGATATGAAAGATAAGACTTGAGCAACAGAACTGAAAATTTTGTCACAAACTACTCGTCAACCAGTGAAAACATATACTCCCCTCTAGAACGTGTTCATATCAGTGGATGAAGTATGATTCTACCTTGTATCACTTGCGTCAATAATGAGGTGAAAAATATGCCAAAGGGAGCAGGGTATGGGGTTGTTTAATCCTGGTACCTAAATATGTTGCCAAATCGAGCTTTGACTTGGTCTAATTGATTCTTTTTTTGCTCTTTTCTCATTAATTTTTCCAGACTCAAGTTCTACATAATATAATGTAGTTCTGCATGCAGCCTGGTCAGCACTCATTTTCAGACTTGTATCTAACAGTTCTAGGTTG